TTCACTTCCAGAGGTTCACTCCCAGAGATTCACCCGTAGAGGTTCACTCCCAAAGGTTCACTCCTAGAGGTTCACTCCTAGAGGTTCACTCCTAGAGGTTCACTCCCAGAGATTCACTCCCATAGATTCACTCCCAGAGATTCACCCCTAGATGTTCACCTACAGAGGTTCACTCCCAGAGGTTCTCTCCTAGAGGTTCACTCCCAGAAGTTCACTCCCAGAGATTCACTCCTAGAGGTTCACAACCACAGGTTCACTCCCAGAGTTTCAATCCCAGATTTCCACTCCTAGAGGTTCACTCACAGAGGTTCACTCACAGAGGTTCACTCCTAGAGGTTCACTCACAGAGGTTCACTCCTAGAGGTTCAGGGAAAGCTTGGTGGTAATGAAATCATTTTTGAATCGTAATGAATTAAACATGGCTCGTACGTTCTCAGTAATAATAATAATAGTATCTTTATTTAAACACGATAGGGTTTAAAGCTCAAAGCTTGTGGGGTCGTGTGAAGAAAAGATGGATGAATGCATGAATATTTAGGTGATAAACAACAAATTATCCCAGCTCTTTATTCACACAAATTCTTGCACGGTAAAATCATACAATGTTAGGGTGAGGCAAGATGATAGATTATAATTTCCAGGGTAAGAAAAATGCCAGGATTGTTTAGACTCTAAATAGCGGGCATGGAGGGAAGTTAGTGATAATTGGTCAAATAATAACATATGGGCAATAAAGACTAAGTAATAATTTTGTAGAGAAACAGTTGTGAAGTCAGCTCTTCATATTCTTGTGTATTAAATGTCAATGAATACATGTAAAGGTCCATTATGCAGTCAATCTTTTTTTCTTGGTCAGCTCAAAACCAAAATCGATTTTCACCAACAACACAGCCAATGTGACCCAGTTTCTTCAATTTTTTGCCCGTTGACCCTCTAACTTTTGCTGCGCATGACATTGATAGTAGGCGATGGCACACTGAAGTTCACGCAAAACTTTATTTACTTGTAATATTTTTGTTTTCCTGCTAACATCTGGAATGTCTTTTCAGGAAGCTCTCGTGCTCTTTCACTCAAAGTGGAGTAAAGCGCTGTAATTTTCACGCAGTTGGAAAGAACGATTCTGCCAATAATAGATACTATGTTGAGAACATTCTTTGCTAGTGAATTGACTAAAAGTTTCCAAGAATTGTTTCTATGAGTTACAGAAAAGAACAATCACCATCCTTATATTGTCGGTCTATAGTTTAGATTTTAAAGTAAACTCTGGTGAAACTCAATAAATTGATATCTGGCTGTCAGTATTTATTTCATGTTTGTTAGTTGAACCTAAATTAGTAAGTCACATCGACTGAGAGCAAGGTAAATTTGTAAAAGAACGAAAAAATATCCATGTATCTTACAGAAAAGTTCGCGGATCCCCCAACTTTACTTATCATTTTCACTCGTCTTTGATGTTTTTTTCGCGGCACACGGAACCAGCCTTGACTAAAGGTCTTTGCAGGAAAATCGAAAATTGTATGATGCATGAATATTTAGGTGATGGAAAACAGTGAACAGCAAATTATTCCTGTGACAGCCTTGTGTAGCAGGACATTCCTAAAGACGGCTACAAAAAGCGGTGCGAATTGTTTGAGGATTTCCAACTCAGTTTCTGACTGGACTTCTGATTGAGCAATCGAAAGATATTAACTGAATGATTCACGCTCACTTTTGATTAGACAATAGTCACTCATTACAAGTGTCTCCTTTACTGAACTTAACTTCAACGAAATACAACGAAGGTACAATTAAGTACAAAGTAAAATTCGCTGAAATGGTTGTGAGTTGCTATATAAAAACTCATCCTTGTAGATACGGCTACTTATTCACTTACACAAAGTGAAAACAATTGAATCGACACAGATGCTGCATGGTGACAGTTTCCAGAAGAAATGATGAATACTTTGCCATGAAAGTTTCACATGACAGGGCTCCTCAGCCAATAAAATTACAATTTAATTTCTAAAAACGCATAATTCTTCAGATAAATAAAGGGGTAAGTTTCTAAATAAACTGTAGTGTTGCGTCGGTGAGAGATTATAACCAGGTAATTTGGTAACTGAGTTAATAACGTGAATTGGCTACCGTAAAGAGTCTAAAAGTTGACGTTTCGAGCGTTAGCCCTTCGTCAAAGCGAGTGGAGGAATTGTGGGTTGTGTCTGTTTTTATATGAAGAAAATTGAGCTACGCTATTGGTGGGAATATGGTGACGAGAAAACAAGAATAAATTCGTTAAATGAAAGACGCTCGTTAATACCGTGGGGATTAAGAGTACCGACTTGAAACAACAATTTTTGTTCTTGAGTTTTACGGCTTTCCGAACTAATTACCTAGATGTAGGGAAAGACCGCAGACTGCTATATTCTGCTTAGAATGATTGGGGAGATTAAAGTGTCTGGCGACTAGTTTGGATGCTTCCTTGTCATTTCTTTCTTTCGTGGCCCCATACATTGAACTCGTTCGGACATAATTAAGCCAAACTAGAAAAACGCATACCATAAATTGCCGCATATAAGCCCCCCCCCCCTTCCCGGTCCATCTGACAGAAAACAATATAGGCTCCCCTAGCTTTTCCTGTTTTGATAGATAGGAACTCTGTGCAGTTTAAAAAAAATCATGGCGCGGGGGACAATAAGTTTATCACTTCCTTTTGATTATTAAGGATGAACCTTCCTTTCGTTATGTTTCAGTTTTGTTTGTGTTGTTAGTTTTAATTCTTTTCCAAGTACCCTGCAACTTTGGTCCCTCATTTACATGTGTCGGGAGGCTTTGAAAAACGAGGCATGACACAAGAGACGCTATTCTTATTCGATGATATGTAAATGAGTGGCAGGGTATTCTGCAGTTTAGCCAAACCTGAAGTTAACTTCAACAGACGCAAACTAAACCTTAACTAACGGACATTAATTAACTTAGTCCAAAGTACGCAAAATTTAATATAAAATTTGGCACATTAAATAAAGGGAGCACACAATCTAAGACTAATTGACATAAACTACAAGAACGCTAAACTAGCAAGAACTACAAATATTCCGGTCAAGTACTGAGGACGCAATATTGCATGCGTGAGATCGAGGCACTTCTGCGGGGAACAAACAAATGAGAGAGGAGGGAGGACTAAGGAGAAATAAAAAGAAACATTTCTCCATGCCGAACCATTTCCTCTTCATTAGTTAGTTAGTTTCGCTGTTACTTAGTCTCACTGTCAGGTTCTTACTCGGTCCAAGCCTTTGTCGATCATACCGATCGATCCAATACGGTGACTTCTACATTCAGTCTAAGTTCGTCCTCATTCCTCAGCTCTAACCTTTAGTCACATAAGCGGACTTTGGAACTTTCAAATTAGGCGATTGAAACGAGAAGACTTACTACAAGAAGCCAAGGTTTACTGAAGGATCAAGATTCTCTGGTTTTGAAGGTGGTTATCTCAATTTACAATAACAAATTGAGAAGCAGTGCACGAGAGCCGATAAGTAAAACGGAAGAGTTGGGGAAAGAGATTGGAGGATGTGGGGGGAGGGGAGAGGGTTGGATGACCAGACTTCCCTTCCCGTCCCAGTTTACTTTGTCTTGTAGGCTCTTCTTTTGCAATGATTCATCGATAGGATAAGGTGTTTCCTATAGGCAAGGAAGAGTCGTTTATATGGCCAGCTACTGCCTACACGCTTATTACTCAAACAGAAACTAAAGTGCCACAATGAGCTCGACAAATAGGTACGAGAGTTTCCTGAAGTGGTAGATCGCCCACTCCTTCAATGTGCCGCTTTGATAAGCCTTTTGCGACCTTTGAGGAACACTCGAGGAGCTTGGAAATCAGTGGCCGAAGGAAAAAGTTTTGTAAAGTGCGGACCGTTGCTTCTATAAAACGGAGGTGCTGGTCTTTTCCTCTTGTTATCGTCCAAGACCAAACATCGGTAATCTGACCATTGTTGACGGGGTGGTTAACGAAAACCCCCTTGTACATACCTTTTTTACTTCAAAGGTTGATTATTGCAACTCCTTGCTGTATGGCCGACCCAAATATTTATTGCAAAGGCTCGAAAATTTTGTCGCTTAAAGTTGGTCATTAATTAACCTGTAGGAAATAGGACTATAGGAAGTATTTTGAAGAGAAACTGTTAAGAAGTCAGTTCTTTATACTCCTGTGCATTTACGACAAAACACCAACTGCCGCGTCATTTATGTGAAATAATCTATATACGCGGTTAAGTCCGCTGACCCGAGCCTTTAGCTATTTTAGCGAGGTAAATCCACATAATAATTAATCTACATATCGTAACACTCTATTAACAATGACATATCTAAGACTGATTTTCAACTGACTGTGAAAGTTCATTAGGCAGTCACTTTGTTTTAATTGATCAGTTCAAAACCAAAATCGATTTCCAATTTTCGTCAAACCAGTCCAAACCGGTATCTTTGTTTTTCCGCCATTTGGGCCGATTGAGTTTTCCCAGATTTCACTTTTTGCATGACGTAGAGTTGCGCCTACTGGAATCGATTTCAAATCATCCTCAAAATATGTTTTTAAGATTCTACTTCGTATTGTGTCCTTTGGTTAATATCATGCACCTGAATCCACAATTAGTGAATACTTTGATTTTGGTTTCACGATTCCCAGTCAATTGAAAAGCATTCGACCTCTCCTCCAGCATTGAAACCAACTAACAAATGTGGCCATGACTCAGGCCGTGTTCAGGTGGTTA